GGTTTGAAGAGACACCCAAGTACATTAAAAATTTGCAAAAAATTGGGGGTCACCGACCAGATAGGAGAACTACACTCTTATGTGTTACACCCTGCATGAAGCACTAGTCCCCATTCAAATCAATGGAAAAATTGGTGTTTTTTCACTAAAGCATTATTTTTTATGATTTTTTAACGTTCGAATTTTTAATTTTTAATTTTTAATTTTCTTTTATGTAAAGAGGCATCCAAGTACATTTAAATTTTGCAAAAAAAAAAAAATTGGGGTCACCGACCAAATAAGAGAACTACGCCAAGTTGAAGTGCATTACACCCTGCGTGACGCACTAGTCCCCCTTCAAATCAATGGGAAAATGGGCATTTATTCACTAAAAAGTTATTTTTTTATGATTTCCAACGTTTGAATTTTTATTTTTGGTTTGTATGGAGAGACATCCAAGTACATTTAAAACTTTCATTATGTTTTTAAAACAGTTGAAGTGAGTATACTAGCTACATGTATTTTCAGATTTGTCATACTGATGCGAAGGTGTAAGTCATTAACTTCACAACAGATTTATTGAAAAGGGAAATATTTCATGCATGTGAAAATAGTTTATTGCCGTTGTTATTTATTAATGTAATGAATATAATATGAATGGGATTTTTTGCCCCCCCCCCTTACAAAATGGAAATCAGCATACATAAAAATCTCATTAATGAGATGTGCCAATATTCGTGCGATTCCAGCCGAATCCCACGAATATTCGTAACACTATCGCACCTGTATCGTAACTGAACCGTAGAGCGTGTCAAATTAGACCAGAAAATTGGCAAAATCTCACGAATCTTCACGAATCCTGAAAATTGTCAATTCCTGGCGATACGTGGGACTCTGTGTTAAATAGGGGCATAACCAAACGGCAGCGTTTAGTACCATTTTTGGAACCTCACGCGAAAGGGTGGGGGGGGGGGGTCAGCTTCGCATCCGCCCCACCCATCAACTTATCCTGGATCCGCCCCTGGATGAAAGATAGCAAGGGAGCATTACCCATAAAATTCATTTAACGCACAAACTCTAGTGTAAAACTGTAAATCCCACGTTTCATGCGCAAGATGAAAAAAATAATGCCACATATGTCATAAAGCAATCCTTTTCTGGTGAAATCTTCTTACAGAGCCGTCTTTCTACTAATCCATCGGACCATGGATCTCTTGTATGCTGTGTGGCGTGGTGATAATGGTGAGGTGAAGCGACTGCTGCGTGATGGGAGATATCATGTAAACAAAGAGACTGTGGTACGTAGGCCCTACTGTTTCTGTATTTCACTACATTGTACATTGTGTCTATCGATCATAAGGATGCATTCATAAATACATCTTTTCTATAAAAACATATTCAGGTTCTATAAATAACTATACGTTATACCTCTAGACTTCATTGTCGCTTCCTTTCACAATACACGCAATAGATCATTTTTTATAATGGGGCCTGGCTTCCTGGCTCAAATGTAAAATAGGTTGGAGACTGGCATAGATTTGATTTTAGGGTGAAGATCTTTCACAGTTCTCTATAGTAGTAGCCTTACATAGAAATCGCACAATTTTCTAGTAGTAGTCTAGGTGTTCCTTATTATTATTATTATTATTATTATTATTTGATAACATTTCCATCAAATGTACTTTGCCGGTGTCCTAGTTTCGTATAGGAAATCGAACATGCATCGAGGCAGTGTGATCATCAAGAATTCCATTTTGCTGTCTTTACATGTATCACTAATTTGTTCTTTGCAATCCAAGCCCTGCGGTTAGAAAAACTGCTTTTCATTTTCATTAAAGAAATTTCCCGATTCTTGATGTTACAGGGAGTGTACAGCTGAGTATCGTCAGTGTATATGACATGTATCTAGTAGGATCTTGTGAGAGGGAGTCCTCCATGATAGAGTCTGCTATGATATGCCATTCATTTGTACATGTAAGACGGGGACCCACTCATGTCAATATAACCCTAGCTATCATAGGGGGCGGACTTTCTATTTCACGGACACTCAGTTTCGTTTCACTGGCACAATTTATTATTAAGATTAGCTGTAGCATTTTCATATAAGTATGCAATGATGACTGTGTTATCATTGTTTTTTAAGACCAGTATTGTTTTCCTTCATGTAAAAAGATATGCCATTCTGTGGGGTGTTTTTTGCTCGATCATTCCCAGCAAGGTCATATTTTTTACAATTTATTACATTTTCTTCTTGTTTTTCTTTTTTATTGTTTTATTTTGTGTTTTATTCTTTCCTTCAAGGCCTCGGTGACAACCGGGCGCATGGGTTTCAGGGTGGGACCTTCTCTGCGAGTTGTGGGTGCAGTGGAGGGCGTGGAAGGCGGGTGACGCACTCCCGCACTGCTTTTGATTAAGCTACTCTTACAACCGGTCGTGCTCGCTTCTACGAGCGGTTTGCGTGCAAAAAAATTGGCCAAGTATTAAGATACACGCACCTGGAACGTACTTTTTTTGGTGGACGTGAACACGACGCTAAGCACGCAGCCAGAAAACTGGCCGACCAGATTTTCGCTACGACCTGTCTGCGACAATTAGAACGCCTGGAGCACGCTCGTAGGACGCAAGGCAAAAGTACTGAGTAGAGTGCGCTAGGCGTGCGTGTAACGCATGAAAGGCATGCAGAAATTCCGGGGTATTTTACCACGAAGCCGATGTACTAACCACGCAGGGGACTCGTACGTTCAACTTGCTTTCAATGCACGTGTTAACAAAAAAAAAAAAAAAAGGGGGGGTGAGCGCGCTTCCTCCGTGCGTTTATCTTACCTCCAAGGTGCGTTTTGAGTACTACTACCGTACTTGTGAAGTTCGTCACACTAAGACGACGCACTTGACCAGCACGATATAAGTGCGTCACAAGAACTTGCTTATAGGTGCATCGTGCGCCTTTATCACAGCTGATACGAACAGTCTGCTCTCAGTTTGGAAGTGCCATTTTGAAAGCCAAAACAGTGAATGATAGGAGACTCAGTGCTCCCTTTTATATTATTTTGATTATCCGCGTGTTCCACCAATTTGAAGCACGAGTGTCGTGCTTAACACTTCCGTACTCATTACGTTTCCCTTACGTTTCTCTAACTTCGTAAGTACGATTTCTGAAAACGTGCGCTTCACTTGCAATACACGTACGATTATCTCACTCACTGTGTGCGACACAAGTACAGATCGTACGTGCTCCTTACTTCTTCCTACTTCCAAAAAAGGCGTACAGACCTCTTGCGGACCCCACGTTTAGAGCACGACACACCTACTCATAAAGAATTACTACTTACGTCCGCTGCGATTAAATTTTCATCCTGCGACAACGCTACGCCTGACAAGAACTCCGAGGACGCACGATCTCTAAGCAGGTTGTAAGATAGGCTTTAAGTTTGGAAGTTGTGAGGGCGTGCGCCGTACTTAACACGCTGTTGGCTTCTTCATTGCTTGCGACGTGTGTCTTAGATCAAAGTTTTTCTTCACACGGTAATCCTCCAGTCTCATTTGCGGACATCTTGCAAACTTCTTGCTAAAGGAGCAGATTATCCTAATATTTTTTTTTTCTTTTCTTTTTTTTTTTTTCATTTAGCCTATATGCAAACGAACCTTGTGATCAAAGCGCACCCCTCCTTTTGACTGTTACAGAGTATTCGTGGTAGAATTCGTGGTATTTATGTCCTAAATACTAACGAACTTTACATGTACCTACAAGTTATATCACCCTTTGAGGAACCTTGGTAGGCTACGTGTATACCGCTTTTCTTATTAGTAGCTATGGGCTGTTGGTAATTACGCCCAAACAAATAATGCAAATGATGGTCAGAGAGCATTAATTACAGGTGATGATCATACGCTGACCACAGAAGATGGAGTCGGAATAATACTTAATTTTGCAAAGATTACTAAAATAGTGAGATCATATGATAATAATCCAGTGAATAAACCTAAGTATGATATGATATTGTTTTGTTTTCACCAGTGGGGATTGACTCCTCTGCGCGTAGCATTGCTGAGAGGTAATGCAGATATGGTGAAACTACTCCTGGACAGCGGGGCTAAAGTTAATGCCAAGGACTCGGTAAGACGCATGCTTGTGACTTATATGCCCATTTCCCTTCGTGCGATATTTATGTATATTTATACTGTATTAATATGATATGGGAGCTTCAAATTCTGTAGTTTAATGCTACAGATAACCCAACGAGTGTATTTTCCATGAAAACCTAGAATATTCCATTGTTTTGTGTATGTATGGTGTATTGTGTTAGCGAGTTGGGTAATACAGGTATATATTTTTTCCTTTCTTTGACTATGATGTATTCAAACCAGGGACAGATATTTAACTTTTTTTTTCATTTCACCGTTTTTGAAGTCAGTTGCCAGTTAGAACAAATCGTCTATATATTTTTTTATTTATTTAGGATACTAGTACTTGAGACACATATTGCAATACATGCACAACATGCATACTGTAGGCCACACACTCGGTATTTTGTTAAACAGTATTATTTAAATTAACATAATAATTATTTTTTTCAATCTCTTTTTTTTTATTTATGACATGTATTCAGAACCTTTTACCTATCTCAAATTTTTCTTTTTTTTTTTTTTTTT